AAAAAAAGTACTGGTTTGAAAACCTTCCTTTCTCTTTCTTATTTGAAATCGGTTGAAAAATCGCTTATTTTACTCATTTTCTAATTTCAGTGATTATTTTCAAGCTTCTAAGCCCACCGAGATTTAGGTTTAAGCGAGTGTCAGTGTTTTATCCACTAAGATTTTTACATCATTGTATGTTAGATTCTAGTTAAAGTCGATTATGACAGACGGAAAATGGTTTCACCATAAAAAATCGCATAACTAAATAACACGTTCGGCGAAGAATATTCGGCTTTATACTTTATACATTTAAAAATTAATTTTGACAATCATATAACGTTAACCTCGAGTTTTTGTAAACGCACATTTAATTGATGTTGCACAAAAAGTATTGCTATCATCAACCGCAATATCCTATTTATCTCGCTTCTAGAACCTGTATTTAATTGCATTTTAATTGCCTTAGTATTCCATCTAATCGAGTCCAGTTTTTGTATGCCTAACAATTGTATGCATCGTGCGATGGTGTACGCATAGCTAATGAAACACGCAGTGATCTAGAAAACGGATATGTTTCGAGAGGAAATTGTTACAAGCCGGGAATTCCGTCTAATGCACAAGTAATGTATCTTGGGCTACGTACGAACGATTTCCGAATGCCTATCAGGGTTTAGTTCCGCTTCACCTAGAAGTAAAAAGAAAGCTGATTTAAAACAATTGAGGTATTGTATCTTGTATTAACTGATGTTTTTGCTTTCGGTCCCGAGACTATTAAAGCTTCATCTGACGCAGAACCGGTGGGCTAGCCAGAACCCACGGGTTTGGGACAATTGAGGTCTTATTATGTATATTTTAGTTAAGAGTTAGTAATAATAAAAAAGGTTTGCTCTTCGTAAAATCGATTTCCATAAAGATAATATTTAGAGGAATAAGTTTATAAGGGTGAAATTTCGACATTTACATGGAGGATTTTTATTACGATGACAAAAAAATGGGCACGTTAAACATTTACTATCCAAGTTTTATGAAAAAAATATTTGAAGAATGAATAGGTACTAGATTTGAAAACTTTATGTTTTAGTTTAGTTTTCATAAATATTGTAAAATTTTCATTGTATGGTTTAGTTTTCATAATTGAAACAACGGAAAGATTTATTATTTAAAAAAAGTCCTGTCTTAAAGACATTTCTGAGTCAATAATAGAGGTGCTTTATGGCTCCAATGTAAGTTATTGTTTTCTTTATCCCATATTCACGTTTGTACCTTTGGGGTGGCTCTTTTGTCCGTGCCGACCAATGATGCGATGGCCAACCAAAAAACAGCACGTCGTAATGATCCCGAAGGATACGGTGATTTTTATTGTCTGTGGTGAAATTCTTAATAAATAAATAAAATTTCTTTTGGCTGTTCTTATAAACGTTATAGTATTTTAGAGAAAACAATTAAACTTAAACCAATACTTACTAATCTAAATCTTCGTCCCGGATACAAAACGAACTAACGACCCGACATACCAAAGCTTTCATAGTCTATCTACCTGAGCTATACGAGACACCATTCTTTCCAGGAAGGTATTTGGACACAATTTTTTTGTAACGGACGTAACTTTCAATTTTATTCGAATAAAAAAGTATTCGTTCTGGAATTGCAGAATGTTCGGAAAACCGACATTACCGCCAACTGATCACCGATTCTACATCATTTGCTATACATGCAAATTTTATAAACAGACTAGCAAAATCTGCAATAAAATCTGCTTAGTAATAAACTGTATATACAGACTGCGAATAATTAATTCAAAGAAGTGGTTAGTGCCACCGTGCACTGTAATAATACTTTCTTTTCCGCGTACAGACGATGGCTGCATGAATAATGTTGATTTCTTACACTTTGATTATCGAGTCGAAAGTTCATTCGATGTTATTACAATATTATGCGCGACAGTACGGTTTTCATTTTAAATGTATTGTTTATAGATTAAAAGTGCATGTTTTTCAATTTGCGAATATACGTTACATAAGCTTATAACAGGAATAAAGAGAAAACTTACAAAGTCTTTGAATCGCTATGACCTTACCTTATTTTTTAGAGCGTGTCGGTACAAACCGCGACAATAAATGAACACATATAGAGGAAAACTTTAAAATTGTATTAAATATTTATATTAACCTTCAAACATCAATATTTACCGAGTTATTAAATTTTCCAAAACAAACAATTTTAGAACACCCTTACGTATAAAACTGTAACGTAAAGTTTTTTTGTAAAGGTCACAAAGCATCTGAATGGGTTGAATGAATTTAAAAGAGATAAAACATACTGTTAGAAGGAGAGACTTGTAACGCGACACTGTGGCAATGAATGAAAAAGACTCTGAATGTATGAATCAGTCAGTTGTGTCGGTCAGTGTATAGGATGTTACAAATTTAGTTTCTTTTTTAATTAATTGGTTTTATGGTTTTTTTTAAGTTTGTATTTTTTATGATTATTGGCAAGTAGCGTTAACTGTGTGTTAATTTAATGTCGCGGTTTTAACAACACGCTGTATATTACATATAGTTTATTTTAATTATAAGGAACTTTCGATGTTGCTACACTTACACTGAGTATTTTAGGCATTATCACTTTTAATTTCGGTTTAAAATCTACACATTTCGAACAATCCAGTACCTATTGTCATTGAATAGACTTATGTGTTAACCATTCAAAATTCTTTTTCAATCTTTGCTTTTTCCATTTTTTTATTATTTTCCGATATTCTTTTAAACTCGGGCTTTTTGATTTTATATTAAGTTGTTTTAGGTCGATGGTAGAGAAGTAAATGTACGAGTACTATTTGATCTGGTAATGTAGTCGTTGTCGGTAGAGTTTTTGGTCATTTGCCTAGCTCGGGTCAGGAAGCACGCTCTGTAAGAGCTACTTTTTTTACATGTAACCTGCCTGTACAAACGGCTTTATGTTTACTGAAGATATAGTTCTAACAGAGATGGTTGGTAACCAAATTTATAAGGTTACCAACTAAAATAACTAACTTCTCTAGGTTAGTTGCATTAGTTAGTTCAGATACCAAAGAGCAAAGGGGTTCTATCGAATCAACGTTAACATATAATCATTAATACGTGTAACATGTAACATTGTAAGGATGTGCAGAACTAAAAGTTTACGTGTCCTTTAAATGACGTCACGTGCACGTCGTCATTCTCTGACCGTTTGCGATTCGGTGTAATAATGACGCAAACTTATTTAACCATCGTCATAATATTACTCTGCGGACTCTTCTCGACCTTAACTTTCGCGAACACATACTGAAGTTCATAAGTAAAATTTTAACTTCACTATGTTTTCGTTAAACGAATGCGTGCCCACACAAAAATATACGCGAGTTTATTTGTTATCTAGGCTCTGAAAATCACACGAAGAAATCAATGTCTTTCTCCTGACCTGAACGTTTGCACAGCCAACTTACCAAATTGCGGATACATTCGGAATTACGTTCACCGCGTCAAGGACCATAAACCAGCTTCTCCGCGCATAACCAAATGTAATATTTCCTCCATTATAAGAAACATTACTCCGTCCAAATTAAATCAATGCTAATGTTACGTTCAAATCCCATTCCTAACGCCCTCGCATTAGACTGGCAACCCAAATAGTTGCAAATGAACTTGACTACGGAGCGTTTTGCAACTGTCTGCAATTCGATACGTCTAGCAGTTGACTAGTTTGTTTTGCGGCTTCATGGTCGTATAACTTTGAAACAAATATATTGTTACTATAACTGCGAAGCTTCTTATAATATATCGAATGTTTAATACCGTAGTCATGAATAAAAATGAGTATTTCGCCTCATTTAGTTCCCAATTTTAAAACAAATAGTTACGAGAAATGTATAAAATCTTAATAACATATTCATTCTTAAAAAGCTATATATATGTAGCAGTGTTTATCTGTAATGAGGGAAAAATGTAGTTAATTTGCAGTAGTGCAGAAATTTCATATACAAATTTATATATTAGAACAATATATCTAAATGGAAGTTCCTAAAATTATTTTTCTTTTCAATTTTATTATGTTAGAGTACTTGTAACTTGATAATGCCTTTACAATGATTCCTTTGTTAGTTTATGTAAAATATGATTGCTTTTTTGTGATGTTTAATTTCAACTTAATAGTTTATCGATTGACAAACTTGGATAAACAAACTGATAACGAACAATGCAGAGCTTTCAACACGAAAATGTTTGAATTTTAAATTTCAAATTGTACGCTTTTCAACCCCACCCCGTAGGTAAATATGCCATAAAGACTATAAATACCACAGAGCCAAATTGTGTGCTTCTAGTAAATTCCTCAAGCATTCTCAATAATCAATTTCCGAGCGGACACCGGAGCAGGAATGTCGGAATTGAACCGGTCTTAGACGTAATTGCCCTTTGTGGGTTCCGCTGACCGGCAGCCCTATTGTGCTTTCATGGTAGGTAATGTCCGACGCAATACGATAGTATATTGAACGCATTTTTTGACGAACCAATTATATAAAAACAATACATAGTTTAAAAACGTACCAAATTAATAATATAATGCACGCTAAATATTAATATTTATGAAAAAAGTTGCACGTGTGGTCAGAGAAGGGGTGTACTTTAAGTGGGAGTTGGAAAAAAATACCTTTTATAAGTTATTGCTCAAAAAGAGATTTTTAACATGAAGTTAAAAATATCTTAATCTCTCTTCTCGTAATTTAAAAATTGAAAAAATACAACCTTATATAAAGCAATTAAGCTCATATAAGCTTGAATTTTAGATCTTTATATTTTGTCTTTAGCTATAGTCTATCATATAAGCTTGAATATTAGATCTTCTAATATTGTTATTTTTATTACGATATAATTTTTTTAAGCTCATTTGTAATTAAAGGAAATCTTACGAGACTTCAAAGACACCGCTTTCAACACACAATTCACTTGGTACACGACAGCAGTCGACAAAGCAACTTCTAACTCGTTGTTTCTCTCCAGAACTACGTGACGGGGAACACTGACAACTCGCAGGCGATACTCGAGACCCTGAACAACAAGTACTACTTCTACACGAGGACCCGAGGCCTCTTCCGTATCTGCTACCCGAAGGAGCGACCGCCCACAGGTGAGTCTGCAATTTACTTGAAGCGGTTACCTCTTGATTTTTCTTTTAGGGCTTGACTAAGTACGTTTGGCACGTGATAGTCTTTTATGCTTGCTCTTATGTATTGATTGAAACTGATAAGATACGGTATCATCTCTGTTTCTATGAATCATACCCTTTTTTGTTTCTCTCCACTAATAGCGCTCAATTAGTATCAATATTCATTATTTGTATAAAGTTGAGGAGAATAACTTAATTATAACTGTTGATAAGGCGAAACGATACTTTTATAAATTTACCAAGACTCAATTAATTGAAGGTTACGTCCAATATACGCGACATTCTAGGCTAATAAATAAAGTCATTCTATAGAGTGTATGTAACCTACAATAATATGTGTTAAGATTTCCTCGTAGTTAAATTGGACAAAGTAATATTAATAATTCCAATATAGAGTTCCAATTAATAACCGCAAAGCGTCACGAAAACACGTTAATACAGATTTACAGTGTTTATTCTAATTGAACATATTTCATGGTAATGATTGCTCAAGCCATTGGAGCGTAAAACAAAGCTTGCGGCACAGTATACCGTTGGATTTTAGTCCGTATTCCAATGTAAACACAGTACATAACAGATTGCGGAGGAATGTGGTCAGTGGAACAGATGTACGGTATTCTAAAACAGGTGCCTAACAGTTAGTGCAAAATACCAACTGTACCCATTACTGTGCAAGCGTGATATACATTACTGGAATGCTAGAAGAATGCTTAGTCAGTTCTTTTTCATTAAGGCTTAATTTTACTCTTGTAACGGTCAGCCATGACCCGCTTAAATGACGTCAAAATGTTTTATTCGAAGTAGAAATCTGATTCAATCAGATTAGTCACTAGCATCTATGTCTTTGTTGGTTCATGTTTTTCTTTTCAATCCCAAAGGATATGTAAAGTTATTAGATACAAACAACACAACTTTTTACATAATAAAAAAAACAGTGTCCGTAGAACTGTAGCAGTTAAAACGGATTTTGCTTAGACTCTACAAGTAGAGTCTAGTGTGGCCGGTGGTTCTAGTCGGTTTTACCCGAGTGAAGTGGAAGTATTTATACTTCTATGTTTCGTCTTGCAAGTCAAATAACCGGAACCCACTCTTTTAAAGGTCCGAAACGTATTTAGAACCCTTAAAGGGTACTTTCAGCAGTGCCGTGCTTTATTGCACAATTTTATTGTAATGATATTGCGCAATGTATAATGCGGGAGCTTGATAGAATTGAAATTATTATTAGATTTACTCGGAATAATGGTTATATTTTTATTATTATATTATTTCTATGACAAGTAGGTGAAAAAAGATCTATTTTTTGAAATCAATAATTGTTTTGCTGTTCATAAAGTTTCCCCATACAGACCACAGCTAAATAATTTATTGCACGCTATACAGACGATTTTGATTTACCTCAGTTATTGCAGTTAGTGTTCCGAAATTAGTTTATTGTGATTTTACAAGGTTGGTTTTCAATCGATTTTCTTCTCTTGGCGCGTTTGGAAAAAATTATAAAAGTAAAATTTTAACGATGCGCACATCGACAGCCAAAAAACGAAATCGACTAACGTCCACGGTATTACCATGGCAACCAATCACAACTTTTTTACATTTACCTAAGTATAATTCCGAGGTATTTAATTAAACCGTTATCAATTGCATTTACTGTCATTTTCACAAACAAAGAGAACTGGCACAGGAGATGAAGTTTTTTAGTTATTTTTATTATTATTAATAAAAAATGTGTGTACGAGTAAGTTTTGACGGTCACTTCATGAATGGTAGCCATATTTTCGTCCGCTCTAGATGTGTAATGTTTGATCAGAAACCCGGAAGTCTTGAGAACATTAACAGTTTTAATTATGTCGGTGCCGCTTTCGTTTTTAAAGAAGACTTTTCGGGCGACACGTTAGAGCATAGCGGTGCAGTTTCACCGCAAACCGGTGTGAAAGGAAGCCACTGCAGCACAGAGCGACATGGAATAGGCGTCGGCGAGTTCGTTGCTTAGAAATTACGCATCAGAAATGGATGATGATTACACGCGGCCCGTGATTATGATTTCACTGTCCTCAGGCAGGCCTTTAAGACAGGTGACGGCAGAATCTGACAATTTGAATCTTATAGTCTATAGCGCAAAGCTGTTATTAGAGTGCAATTGATTAGTATCACGCCGAACAAAGCCTCCTGCCTTTTCCGCATGCATACCGTCATTGGAAAGTTAATTGAGTTTCAATTATTCCTGTCGCCTAGTGCGCGAGGATGTGCTGTTCGACAACCGGCACAGTTCGGATGTATGGTTAGCTGGCCTTCCCCTCGAAGGTCTAGGTCGCGCGTGCCACTGCGATTTGATTCGGCCGTAATATAAGATATTTTTGTTGTACTTTTTCTCCTTTTTAAGCGATAGTTCTACGACTGCATTGTGACGAAAAACGTTATGGCGACTAGATCAATGCCGAGAATTCACTGTACTTTGGTGTAGAAATTGTAAGCGTTTGAAATTTACATGCAACATTTTTTTGCATTACAAGCTATCTGCTATATATAAGCTATATAAATATCTGATGGCTGCAAATTTGATAGTCAAATCAATTTTTTAAGGCGAGCCGTATATATTAAGTAACGTTACATGATAATATAAATAGTATTGTTGGCGCTGGCAACACTGTATACCGGTTATGACGTTATCTACTTGAGCCAAGGGACACATGGTCGCATGGAGCAGCGGTCACTTGGATTTCGGCTGCGTTCCCGGACGGTGATATAACCAGTAGTGCTGCTTGTCGTTATAATAGTTGTTAATATTCAAGTTCAGTAACAGTTAAAATATTAGGATCAAGGTAAAATCGTTAGAACTCTTATAGTATATTATATAATACTAGCTGACCCAGCAAACGTTGTTTTGCCATGTAAATTATTTGTAGGGTAGAAAAAAATGTTTGGGGTGGATCACCTTTAACATTTAAGGGGATGAAAAAATAGATGTTGTCCGATTCTCCACCCTGGCCGGATATGCACACAAAATTTCACGAAAATCGGTCGAGCTGTTTCAGTTCCCGTCCGAGTTCAATTTTATATACAGCGTGTCGTTACCATCGCGACAATAAATGAACACACGTCTAACGCTACTTGCCAATAATCATAAAAAAATATTAACGTTAAAAAAATCCATAATTAAAAAAAATATTTTTCAAACAAACGAATTAAGTAAAAAAGAAACAAAATTTTTAACATCCTATACAACTCGCGCCACAGCGTCGCATTACAAGCTTCTCCTTCTAACAGTATGTTTTGTCTCTTTTAAATTCATTCAACCCATTCATATGCTTTGTGACCTTTACAAATGAACTTTACGTTACAGTTTTATACGTAAGGGTGTTCTAAAATTGTTTGTTTTGGAAAATTTAATAACTCGGTAAAAGGTGATGTTTGAAGAATTTAAATGTTTAATACAATTTTAAAAATTTATCCCCTATATGTGTGTTCATTTATTGTCGCGATGGTAAAGACACGCTGTATAAGATTTGACGAACCTTATTGTACTCCAACTTTTTGGCACCTTAGAGTTTTTACTACACGATTTTAGAATATTCAACTTGAAGAAATATGTATGTTTTTATTTGTTATTAAGGCTTTGCTTATAGAGACATCACGTTCTGGCTGCATGATGGTTGCCTGTTTGATTATTTATTAGGACATTTGCAGATATAGCGAACACTAAATTCAATGTAAAATTAAAGATAATGGAGAACTGCTTCACTCAACGGCAATGATTGTATACCATAAAAAGTGAAAATTGCTGAGAATTATTTATAGCTCATAGAGGACGAGATTGAGTTATTGAATCCATTTTCAGTTTCATTTGTTTTCGCTTCCGTATGGCTTCTTGCCTTAAGTTATTGGTGTCTTTTTAACGGAACATTTAGTGGGGAGATAGGTACTTTACATTTAATTTTTAGCTGGTACAGAATGATCTACAATAGTTTTCTTTACAAAATATATATGCTGCTAAAAATGTAAATTCATCTTGAGTGCCGAGACTAGCACTAAAAGTCAAAGATTAATTCTAAATATCTGTTGCTATTCTGTGTACCGTGTACAGCTTGAAATAAGACAATATAGAAATTGTAGACGTCATGTAGGTCTTGGTTAAAAATAGTCTCTGACTTAGACTCCACAGCAAATATCTGATCACCTTTTTACGATAATTATATTATGTGTGTATGTCGCGCATTTTGTTCTGATCGGGACAGAAAGAAATAAAGAAGTCATTTATAATAAATGAGGTAAACTTACCATTGATGCTTAAGACCAGTTCAGGTATTGATGAGATAATAGCGTTGCGTGAAGAAATATCTATTGGTATCAATTCGTCGCGGATAATTGTTAGACAAGCTGACAATAACCCAACTTGAGGTCGACAGTTACGGCTTTTAATAGGGAACTGAGGCCACGTTACTGACCTCTGTACTGATTACTGCCAGAATGTTTATTAATTTATTATTTGTCGCTTTCGTTCGTCGATTGATTGGATATTAAATCAAAAAATAAGGAAGTTATCGAAGACATCAATAGCCTATAAACTCACTTACGTGTTATTTTACTTCGCTGTGATATTAAAAGTAATTAGTGATGTTCGCTAAGCAGTCGAAATTCTACCATAATCGTTACTGAAAATTTCATGACAACATTTTCATCTTAAGCCATAAACTTACGTATAAGCATGAATATAGTAAGTACCATAGCAAAGGAGACAAATAATATTATATTTCTATGGACAACACTCTTCAATAAACTTAACAAAAAAAGTCAGTCAGTCATGGGGACTGACGACAGACGAAGGCACATACTTTTGCAAACCTTCAAGATACAAAACGTTCAACATACGTTAGACTAAAGCTTTTTTTAAGCTGACGGTCGTCCGTATCACAGTGACAACAAGACGTTATATCTCTGTCCATTCCGGGACTTTTAAACATGGA